TAACACTCCAGGGCTTTCCTGTCTCCGAGGGGCAAATAACTCTTTATTTCAAAGTATATTACGACGAACACAAAACATATAAAAAAAAATGTACTTCATTTATTATATTATTTTTCCTTTAAATTTAAAGGGTTTTTTTATTTATTTAAATCTGAATTATTCATTTTTTCATTTGTTTTTATAAGAAAAATTCTAGAGTTAAAACATTTTCGTCATTGATTGTCGTTTACAAGAGAACAAATACCACATAACAAATAAAAATCCTTCTGCATCTGCAATAACTAGATCATTAATCGATCAAATCGTGCTATTATTTTCAGGGCAGAAAGTATAAATGTAACCCAAAAAGGGAAATCCACAGACGCCCTGTATCTTTATCTCCCTTGTTAAAAACTTCCAACCCGTTCTCATCTACATTTATTTGGCAGAATGTTACTAATGAGATCTTAGTCTAAAGTGATAAAGTTATATTGAAAGTAGAAGAGTTGTCAGACAGACCAATTTTCAGATCAAATATTTAGTGTCAGGACACCGAGAACACTTATAATGCACTATGTCAGATGCAAAAAATGTAGCATTTACTTACTTTATGCTGAGCAAAAACCAATAATAAAAGAAAACGTGCACCTTCTGCATTTTGATGGAACATGTAGCTGTTGATTTTTTTTTCCAATAGAGATCGGAAGTAATTTAAAATACAAAATTCTGTCAATTCGACCCATTAATACTCGCATGAAGTAATTTTAGACACATACATTTCTTTAAGTCACAAAATTTTCGTTTTATGTTCAATTTTGAACATTACGAACATGATCAATCTCATGGATTTAGTAAAGATATCGAATCGTGGAGAGGGAGCTTAACACTACTAGCCCCTAAAAATCCAGAGATGGGACTACATACTTAGGAGGAGTAAGCATCCCTTGCCGAAAGATCAAACAAGCATTTATTATTGGTGCAATACTGATTTGACTAGATCAGGCCAAAGGAAACAGTATAGCTACTAGTTTATCAATTAACAATATTAATTTTTATTACTACATGTACCTTATTTTGATATATCCCTTTGAACTCGAACTAAAAGATACAGAATCTTACAAATCTGTTTCATAATTAGATATTTTACCTGATAAAGACCTTTGTAGTAACCTAACAATAACATTTTTAGATAAAAGTGATTAATTCAATTTTTTTGTTGTCAACCTTCCTTATTTATGTATTTACTATCAGTAGCACCTGCCTATGGAGCTTATGTCTCCCATTTTGCTCTACGAATAATTTCTACGACGAGCTTTTTAGCAACTTACAGACAAACTGATATTGATTAAACAATAAGACCAAAACACGAACCTCGTCAACCTCGTTTTAAGCCTACATTTGTAACTTTTTTGTTTGATACAATGGCCTTTAAATTCAATCTATCATTAACTCAAATGTTAATGACGTTCTTCATACAATTTGTTAGACCATTATTTTTATACCAAATTGTATACGAATGATTTTTTCCGTTTGTCAGATCAAAAGATAGATCACATGGCGGGCATAACCAGTCTACAGGAGATGTTCACTACTCCATGGCACCTGATCCCACCTCTAATTATTTTACAGTTCAATGTTTTGTTTGCTTCCAATCTGAATGTATTCAATGGACCTTTGAGCTTGATTACTGTTCGATCATGATTTTTATATTCCGTGGTATATTACGTAAGTGCATTATTGTAATTTTAACACTTCTATAAACACAAGGATTTGTTTTTAATAAACATGGGAACAGGTGCATTAGAGGAGATAATGTCTCCTGTTGATACTTCACCCCTGCAGTGAGACATGTATATTAATGAGGTAAACGCAGTCAATTGAAGTATAAAGAAACAAGTCTGTAATCTGTAAGTAAGTAGTCTGATTCGGGTTCTCAATTGGTCGTACGCTGAGCATACTCTTTAGCATCAAATAAGTTGGGAGATATAAACACCAGGTAAAAGTTTTATTTTGAATTTTGATTTTAATTTCAAAATTCAATAATTTTTCTTTTTATGTTTTTCCGTCATTTACATATTATGATCCCTTGTTGAGGCATCTGCTGGTGGACTTTTAGCTAAGTACTTCGCTACTCACAAGATTTTTCCTTTTCATATATAATCTAAATTAAAAGAGCAACATATTCACTGCAGGGATGATGGAACAAACATAGATGCCTTAGAAATTATCATAATTGTCACTCTGCAGTAATAATGTTCCTCGCATACATATGTCTGCCAAGACGATATACAACTTAAAATATAACTCCGAAAATCAAAATGTAAAGCTTACCATAATATAGCAGAGAATCTTATTGATCAAGTAATAAACACTTAATGTTTACATTTTTCCGACAAGGGGAAACATCTATTAGGTCACAGGAAAATAAAACAGCAAATATATTCGTAGCATCTATTATACTAATCACTCAAAAATTATAACTGTGTTCCCTATTTAATAAAAATCTTTTACGATGCATTGGCGCTGATATGCTTTTATGCAACGCATTTGACCATTTAATCAACACGTGCATTATCTTGCTGCACAAACAAATCATATGCGACTTCATTGACTTGTAAAGTAGTGTAAGAAAACAGAAGAGTAGATCAATCTATTTTTACATTAAAAGGGGCATATTATTTACAACTGAATAATTCATAATTTCATCTGTTTTAATAGCAAACATCCTAGAATTAAAACATTATCGTCATTGATTGTCGTTTAAAGAGAACAAACACCACATAACAAATAAAAATCCTTGTGCAACTGCAATAACGAGGTCAAAAATCGATCAAATCTTGTTATTTTTTTTCAGGACAGAAAGTATCAATGTTACCCAAAAAGGGAAATCCACAGACACCCTGTATCTTTCTCTCCCTTGTTAAAAACTTCCCACCCGTCCTCATCCACATTTATTTGACAGAATGTTAGTAATGAAGTGATAAAGTTACATTTAGAGTTAAAAAGTTGCCAGACCAATTTTCAGATCAAATATTTGGTACTAGAACACAGAGAGCACGTATAATGCACTATGTCAGATGGAAAAATTGTAGCATTTACTTACTTTATGCTGCTGAACAAAAACCAATAATAAAAGAACATGTGCACCTTCTGCATTTTGATGGAACATTTAGTTGTTGTCTGTGTGGCTAATTATAAACAATGCAAACAGCAATGCTTTTTCCAATAGAGATCGGAAGTAAAATACAAAATTATGTCAATTCGACCCATTAATACTCGCATTAAGTTATTTTGAACACATGCATTTTTTTATATCGAAAAAACACGGCAGTTTTATGTGCAATTATAAACGTAACGAACAGTGATCAATCTCATGGATTTAGTAAAGATATCGAATCGTGGAGAGGGAGCTTAACACGAGCCCTTAGAAACCTAGAGATCGGACTACAAGGGACTACATGCCTAGGAGGAGTAAGCATTCCCTGCCAGAAAATCACACAAGTATTTATTATTGATGCAATACTGATTTGACAAGGTCAATACCGCCGAAAAATAGAATAACAGCTAGATTATCAATTAACATTATTAATTTTTATTACAACCTTATTTCGATATATCCCTTTGAACTTGAAATTAAAGATACTGAATCTGACAAATCGGTTTCATAATTGGATATGATATTTGGGTATATCGATGAGGTATTAACAAGTAACTATAGACACTACCATTCAAATGTCGACTCGATATATCTCAGTGAGCTTGGAATAAAAGATACCATAGAGTGACACTCTGCTTGATATTTGGACATTGTACTAGAATAAGACCGTAATAGCCTTACAACCCTGGTTTATGATAAACTCGATGACTTCTTTTCAAGTATCAACTTCCATTACGTATGTAGCGATATACCCTTATCATCTGTATATAGAGTTTATGTCTCCCAGTTGCTTAGATGGGCAAAGTCATCTTTCAAAAAAAAAATTCTAAAGATGTAAGTTTTTCGACGACGTATTGTCAATTATAACAATTGTGATTTCCATTCGTGCATGTGCAGGTACGATATATCCGAGTGAGTTTCAGAAAAAAGATACCACAGAGTCTGACATATCTGTTTCATATTTGTATTTTTTACTTGACAAAGACGTTAATGTTAATCCAACAACCCAGCTCTGTGATAAATGTGATGGCATTTTTATTGTCAACTTCCTTTACATGTATGCAGCAATATATACTAGTTACTTCATCACCATCACCTGCATACGGAGTTTATGCATCTCTTATTGATTCGATATGCAAGAGCATGTTCTACTTATGAAAAATTTCTAAAACGAGGTAAATTATCGACAAGCAGGTTGATGAAACAATTAAGAATATCAGAAGTATCGTTTAAAGTCATAATTTCGTGACGTAAGCTTTATATTCGATACAGTGACTTGTCAGCAAATACAATTTCTCATTGAGTCAAATGCTGAATGACATTTTTTAAACTAATAGTCAGTCCATTATTTATACACGGAGAGAATATTTTGTGTATTGGAATCCTACAAAAATACTTTTAGCAGATAAGAGAACTAAACAAACAGACTAAACAACCATTCTAAAATGAATGCTTTGAAGATATATTTTTGCTGGATTTATGTAGTAAAATGTTGTTTTCAATTATCGATCTTTATTCTAACATTGATCGTAAAACATTTCTTTCAGAAATTAAAAAAAAAACAATATAATAATAACAATATCTCATGAATTATCACAAATACAGCACCATTGTTTTGTTCAAATAACGTGACACCTTCTATTTGTTGCCATTTCCATTTACACTGTTTCATGTACTTGGATCCGCCACTAACATTCACAATTTTCAGTTCTGTTACATCCAACAAAACAGGAGTCATCTGTCAAGTCTTTGTTGTACACACTTCCTGAGCCTGACACACTAATCACAGATGACAGATGGACAGTAGCTGTGGATTTTACGTCCACTCCTTTGAGTTTTCCATTTTCTTTTATGATTAGTGATTAAGATTTCCGTTTATAAATCATTTTACAGACAACATCGTTAACCAAGAGGGTCTACAAAAAAAATATCAAAAAATGACACCATTAGAAAAATTTGAAATTTTAGCAAATAATACAGATTGAAATTTAAGATAAGATTTAAGATAAGATAAAATGAAACTAATTTGAAGTACCTTAAACAAAATGATTTTACATTAACATGATCAAAATTCCAATCATATAGCCAATAAATATTTATGATCATACACTTAACGATATTCATTGAATATTTCGAAATAAATTAAGAAATGACAATCATTATTTAATATGCCGATATAAAACAATTAGGAATAGGTTAATCAAGACAAGTAATCTAACACGATTATTTACCATGACTAAATGGTCATCCACCAGTTCCCGTATGACCTTTGTAGGAAGTGCTTTAGAACCCTCTGTAGGTCTAGACATGGTAATCAGCTGATTGTTAGACCACGTGTGTACCTCCTGTGAATCAACAATACACACATAGCAGCTTAAAAACTTAATTATAGGGACCTGTCAAAATTAAGGTCGCTCAGTACAGGGTTTTTGAAATTGAACAACACGCCAACAGGGTTTTAAATGACGGAAGGATATCAGAACGTTTAATTATCAAGAAATCTGTTTGTTTGCAGAACTCCGTAGAACTATTATTTTGAAGTGAATCACGGCTATCTCAGCGTGTTATATTAACAAGTGATGGATAACTTTTTTCTCATGCCACCATGGTTCATTATGCAGAGTTTTTACGTCAAAGAAAACTAAAATAAAAACCAATGTCTGTAATTCACAACACGCGGTACAAGCGTGTACGTATAAATAAAGAACTTCTATTTTCAAGATATGACATATATAATTAGGTAAGCTTAGAATTTTCCGTCAATTTTTTTGACAGGTAGTCATTGTTTTTAATAATATTGAATTGCTGTAAAGCTAGAATAAATAGATATAAATTGCCATCAGTACGTCAAATAGATAAAAATAACTCGAACAAAATAAATAAATCCAACATCAGTTTACAAAAAAAAAAAAAAAAAAAAAAAAAAAAAATATAAAGCGATTTTTTAAAAGAAAACTTGACTGATTTAATAAAAATGTAATCATTTGTAGTCCTTAAAAGTGGCATTCATTTTATTCCTTTAAAATTGCCTGATCAAGAAAAAGAAGAAAAAAATACCCTCATAGGATTATGATTCAAGTCTGTGATGTGTATCTCTGTTCCCAAGTGAGCCTTGTGGTCTGTGTTTTTAGGACCTTTGTTTTGTATCCGTAACTGACCATCCTCTATAGAGATCACCATTGTAATACAGAGGCAGGCCGCCCGGGCAAGCTTACGTAAGATGAAATTTACACCTAGTAAAATAAAACAAATGTTAGAGCACTGTCAAAGTAAAATTGTAAAAAAGGATCTAAGTCTAAGTAATGATAATTTAAAAGATTATTATATATTTTAAGATCTGGACAAACACGAATTAACAAAGACTATTTCTTTCTCAATATCCGTTTCTGTCATCCAGAATATCTTTGAAAGCTTAGGTATAAATATATGTGTAATATCTTATAGATTATACAACACATTGTAAACAATGTTTTTTTTCTTTTAAAAAAAGTCGTATGATGAATGTTAGTGTGTAGAATTTCACTAAATTAATTTTCCTTACCACATTCTTTGAGGTATCCATCCAGATTCTCGTCCCTGTGAAATGACCAGACACCGGCGATCGTCTCCTCTATCTCAATCACGTCCATCGCCTCAAATGAAGAGGACTCTATTTCCTGCCCTTGATTCAAGTCGATGCCGCTAGGAATTAGCTCCCTAACCAATGATAGGCGAGCACTCAAATATAAGAGTGCAGTGTTCTGATGTTCACTGAAGTTTAACACAAAGGTAACGATAATAGTAATCTCGCCATAGACTCGTCATACGAGGGCGAATGCCAATTCTACGT